AAAACTTGTGCACTGTGGTAGAGGATAATTCCATTATGGGTAAAATAAAGTCGCATTGTGAGACTTTATCAAAACAAATTTTAAACACAATGGAATACTCTAAGTTGTTCATGCACTACGCGTAGTTGGCTTAGCGCGCCACCCTATTCAGCAGTGCTAATCCTGAAATATACCAATTCTGGAGGACATAAATATTGTTTTGGTTACCCTAACTGACTGTATTCTGGTCTACGTACAATTTATACGTTGGGTGATATATACGTACAAAATTATGCAACTGTATCTTGCATACTTGTCAGCAACCTTAACTTCCAAGAATCATTTTGTTGCTTATGGTTTACCGAATAAGTATTTCTCAATACCATTCCTACCGTCCTAAGAATTTATGCATGGAAATATCTTTGTTGAAAGGCAGTACCGGCTTCGACAAATCTTAGCAACCAGGTTCAGATGTTTTCCAAAGATTCATATGGTTGTTTTTATTTGGCATTGGTAAGGAGAGGATTATTATTATGTATATTATGTAATGGGTTGGTCATATAATGCCCTGGGGGCTAAGTGACGTTCTCAAAGCACAATACATGGTTTAAGACAATATGAGTAGCGATACACGATGGCACAACAGTGTCTTCAGAGATCAGTACCGAGATATATTAGGCGCTTCAGAAAGTGGAACATGCCGGCAAAACTAGGTGGCCAGTAAAATATCGCACTAAATGCGAAATGAAAACATCTACTATCAGCCCAAAAATAACTGTACAGTGGGAGCAACCAGTGACGTCAGAAGCTTTGGCAGCAGAAGAAAAGGTCTGTACCTGGCACCGCCAATTCTCATCCCAATACAAACATGGCTATCACTGTGGAATGGCCACGTAAAGGATGACAATGTACGGGAGGAACTTAGAAAGAAAAGTCGACGGAGGGGTTGCGCTGCATATGCAGTAGGCCCTGGTCAGGTTTAGGTGGTGAAGTGACACTGGCCAAACACGCGGAGTCAGGCTGATGCTGAATGACTACGAACAACACCAGTTTTCTGATTGGGGATCCTGATATGTAAAGTTAAGAACAAGTTACAGCTGATCGAAGTGACCGGCACGATCTTGACCATTATATTGTTTTAAGCGGTTACCACCCGTGATTTCAACAGACCAACGCCCAATATCATGAAGAGACATAACTTCGTGTTAGCTGTCGATATGGAGACGCCAAATGCATTCACGACTTCAAGACTGCGCGAAGCCATCAACAGCAACGCAGATCAAGTGCCCGACGGCAAACCAAACTGGATAGATAACTTTCTAAGCAACGACTACCTACATATAGAGAATTTTCAGTCAGAATCACAGGTAGGCTGTAGTAATGACACAGTAGTAATGCTTGAAATAGTTATTAAAAACTATTGACAAAATATAACCCTCCGACCAAAAGCTGCAATGATCCAATATCCAATATCGCTTTTACGAGCTAGTATAAACCAATTTGATTTCTTTGTGCTCGCCTCTTGATTGTGAGGTAGAGGTCCCTGATCTTCGGTAAACGTCTGCGTAGCTCGTCCCGCCACTCGACTGTCGTAGCTTTGGTTGACTCCAACAGGAGTAGTGCTGGGATTAATTATATGGTGTCTGTAGTATGAAGTGTGTTAAGACTGTTACTACTGTGAATGGAGTTGATCCTTTCACCAGTTAGTCTTTTGGTATCGTCGTCAATGGAAAAGAGATAATAATAATAGATATAATTAGTGAAGGTATTCAGACTAACGAACAGAGAAAAAAATAAGAAAACGTAACAGCAGTCAGTCAACCGGTATACATATATATATATACCAGTAATAATGATAATAATAATAATAAGTGTAGTTAAAGCTGTCAGGAGAGTAAGACTGAAGGGAATGATGAAGCCAAATCTAGGTGCACTTGGGCAGCTCTTGTACAAGCCCCTTGGCCACAAGAAAATCCTCCTCTTTTACGATCGGTGAGCACTGAAAGTAATTCAAGGGAGTTGTCAAGGAGGCCATCAGTGACCCCGTCACTGTGATAACTTTAATCCACAGCAACAGGGCTCAGTGAACCAAAAGGAGCATCCAGATTCTTCTCAAAAACAAGAGAAGATCCTTGTACAGATTGAGGTTTCAAGGGAAGGGATCACACCACACAGCAAATCAAGACCTTAAAAGTTAGCGCATCACTAAAGTTCTAGTGAATGGTGGAACATTTGGATCAAATCAAGGAAGGAAGCTACAAGGAATCTGTATTCACTCATGGCTCAGAGGAAAATGAATAGACAAGGAGTGTGTGCAGTCAGTGTTCACAGGAACAAACTCTGCAATGGTCCAGAAATGATATTGATAAATTCTCACTTTATGTACATGAGCGACGACAGTTTACGGGCATCATCAATATGATAAGTAATATACACAATGAGTAAGCATATTTACAATTTTTCACTTACACAAGATTCATATATACAAGGAGAGGTGATAGAATAATATCGGCAAGCACACTTTACATAGGTGAAAACAATTTACATGGTATAATCCTAGGCACCATTATTGTTTTAATTTGTCGAAAACACGTGTAACAGCTGAAGGCTGCGTTACACGTGGTTGACATGGTGGGCTATTCACAAAAGGGCCAAGTTAAACTTTAAACACCACTAACTACCAATGGACTGCGACCGCACCAGTGACCTTGAAACTCTCACTGAGCAAGTCAGTGAGACCAGCAAATAGCGTTGTCATCATCAATGAAATATACTCATTGAAGTGTTCTTCTGTTAAATAAGATACCTAGCAAGTTACCGGTTAGATTTTGAAGAGATTAAGTTAAGGTTTAAGCCATGGAAAAGTTACGGTTAGGTTTACCTAATAAAGGCGACATTACGGTTGGTTCGAGTTAGATTACAGTTAGTTTAGGGATATTTCCGCTTTAGCGCTAGGTTCAGGAAAGGTCAGGGTTAGGGTCAGAAGATCTAGATAGTCCCATGCATAGAATGCGGTTAAATTACTCTGTTGATATAAGAATAGAGCTTCTGCACTGTGGTAGGGTATAATTCCATTGTGCGTGAAATTTATTTTGGTAAGGTTTCGTGGTGTTATACCGTAATATTTGCTGATGACGTTTTGAGCACAATATATTGCTCAGTAAATATTAACATACAACCCTGTGAAACTTTATCAAAATAAATTTTGCCCACTGTGAACTGAAAAAATGTTTCTAGTGCATGTCGTTCTCCGTACAGAACATACTCGATTTTCCTTCTTGCGAAAATTCCAGTCCTCTAGGTAGGTCCTAATTGACTCCAACGGTGGGTTGATGATTCCACTTTCGAAGACTTTCGAGAGTAGGACTTCGTGAGACGGGTCAAAGACTGTCTTAAAGCAATACATGGAGAGGAATATTCCGGTTTCACCGTCATCTGGGTGTCCCTGGTCTACTTCTCACATGACGTCCTCCATGTCACCCTCAGACCAACTCACAGCTCGTCGTTTTCCATTCGGGTTCCACTCAAGAGTCTGGCTCCTAGTGTCATTCGACCACCTCTTCAGAATTTGATCAATCCATCCCCATTTATTTTGGCATATTAGCTGAGCAATGGTTTCTTGCGTGGTTCATTCCCATATTTGCGTGCCACTAATTCATCCGGACAGGTAATTGGATCTTCACCATAGAGCCAGCGAATACAGCTGTTGATAGAAGTTCACAGCTGGCTTTTAGAAATGGTTTAATGACGTACCAAGTTTCTGACGAATACAAAAGAACTGACTTAACATTTGTGTTGAAAATCCTAATTTTTCTCCTTATGGTGAGTTCAGGAGGTCTATCTCGTCTTTCCGATTCTGGTCTAGACATCCTCATCCCTGCAGTTGCTTGTAGTTGAAATGATGTTCCCTAGATAGGTGGAGGAGGTGGCCTCATTCAAATTCCTCCTGTTGATTTTGATTGGTGTTGGTTGTTGTTGGTTATTTATCTCCACCTCCATCTTCTCCATGTTTCCTTGAAGTTCTGCCTTCTCTGCCAAAATCTTCCACTAGCCAATTGGTTTTTGCATGTAAGTCTTCGAGTTTGTGTAACATTAGTCATAAGTTATCCGCAAAATCCAGATCTTCTTGAGTTTCTTTGTCGGCCAAGCGTATTCCTGTCTTGGTGCTTCTCACTCATCTTGTCAGTGATGGTGAACACTGAATGGACGCTCAGTGAGCTTGTTTACTCAAAGCAGTTCCTGTTTGTTGGTGGCAATGATCTCTGTCGTGACTTAGATGTTTGCTCGTTGACAGAAGACCAGAGCAATACGATCAGAAGTATTAGCGTATATATTATATTGTCGTTATCTGTGGAATTTTTAAATGTGTTGATAGCAGCTGAATATAAATAAATTGGTCAGACTGCGGTAAACTTGACTCGCTATACTGGCTTATTCTTGGTTGATCAATAAATCTTCAACTTGCAGCCCGCCTTTTAGTACCCCTTGCGATGAAATCGAGTTGGTTACTATATTAGTAAGCGAGTGCTGTGAGTCCTGGAGATTTATCTCCTGGACACAGTACACTTTATTGATGCCATTACTGATATATGGAGTTCCGCATAATCCAGTCAACAACGATTAGAATTATCATCAGTGATTTTAGGCAGACGGGCTCTAGTATTCCCGTTGCGGACCACCCGACACTTGGAATTATCAGCCAGCTACTGGAGTTGAAAGTGTTTCGGGATTTTGACCAGTGAAGTACATCAATTGTTCTGTTAGCGATCACGCATAAACAGATGAAAGTCACATGGGCGTTGAAGAATGAGTGTAAGTGACCGGGTACATGCAGACACATACGTATCTTTCATGATCAATGTCATCAGAAAATTTAGCTAATTACCAATACAGTCAGAACAGTAGGGATTTCGCACAGTATCATAGAATTTTAGTTTTTTGCATTCCACCCGGTTTATTTTCACCAATAATCATTGTAGGGAGGTCAAGGTCTCAGTACTTCTTCCACACTAAGTGCACAGCACAAAAGTAACTTAGCAAGAGCGCGGTACACGAACCAGGCGTTCTTCATCCGGAGTTTCCTTCCGCTAGTATACTCCTTAAGGGTTGTTGTTGATACGTTAAAATACCACATGTCTTAGATGTAAGATCTGTTTTAAGTATGATTATATATTGCTGTGATCTCTTTATCATTTATACACCTAATTGTTCTTATTTTTAGGAAGCATGCGAATTCTCATTCAAAACCCATAGCAAATATCCCCCAGCTTTAGAATCACCCGTTGAGTATGATTCATATGTTTTAAATCTTTGTCAGACCTACTGTAAGAATAAAGTCTTTAGGATTGTTTGTGACAATGTGTAGATTTAATTCACAAATTTATGATTTGTTGTCGACACATTGAAAATAAGGTTCAGATTCCAAAGAAGCATGATATTTTGATTGGGTTCATAATGTTGTTACAACAGAAACTATGTAATATAAAACTTTATTGAGTCATGTACCGTAACTTAGCCAAAACTAAATTTCCTAGTGAATCAATTAGGTTTTAAAAGAATTTGTAAGAGTTTAATTTTAAGTATAAAAGCTATAGGGAAACAGAACGTTTGATGAAGAGGGAGAGGAGATGGAATATTTACAGAGTAAGAAAAATTTGATGCATATTTTATGGCCAATTGGCTATACTTAAGTACACCTTGAAATATACACGTTAGGCTTTAAATTAGGGTTTTCTTAACTTTTACAAAGCAATGATTATGATGGGATCTATCGAAATCTTATGTACCAAATCGCTACATAAATTTACTAGCCTTGATTTTCTTAAAAATGGGTTCTCAATATGTTAACATCCTACAGCCGAGACTTTCAAAGATAAATGTGCATACTTTACATTTACACCTGAGTGTCTCATTTCTTTTATATTAAGGTGCTTTTACACGCTACTTTAAGCTTCTACATAATGCATTCGTTGTCTTAAACTGCATTTAGTTTTCACGTCAGAAAAGATTGTCTCTACTACATGTCTAGATACGCTGTTTGAATGGCATCTATATCTTTTTGTTTTATAACTGACTTCACATATACGGCATAAACTGATATATTATGCAAAGTACGGCTTTATGTCGTGGTTGCTACCTGTATTATCGAGTCTCCTCCCTTTATTGTGGCTAGACGATAGTTTTTTATAATTTGCAATGACACATTAAAATGGGTAGTTTTAATATTTGAATGTCCTTTCTAGGTGCTGATGCCCGTAGTTCAGGCCACTTTATCTTTTGTCGTTGAATTACGAGAGTTTCATAATGTTGACCTTTATCACCGTGGGTAAGTTATTTTTCTTTCGGATAATAAGTACACTTCAGCTATTACCAGATTCGCACTTACATAAAAACAAATGGACAGTCAGTAACAACTACGGGATCTGCTAATGCCAAAGCAACAGCGTTTGTTGAACCCCCATTTGTTTGGGAAAGATCTAGTAAACGATTTAAAATACCAGAGGCCAAAACGGCCAGTTACATCGAGCCAAGTGTTTCTGTTCCAACTTATGTTCCAGAAAAAGCTTGTAGCAAGACACTATTGATTATGTATCGTGAGGAAACTGCAAAGCTATGCGATGTGTTTGAACAGAGGATACTGATCCAAGTTGACCCCATAAATCTGGAGGATTCTTTAATGAAGAATGATCTCTTTCTATGTGTTGAGTTATGGTTTGTAGAGGACCCAATTGACAGGTGAGTTATATGTTTTCGCGTATTTAATTCTCTCTGGGTAACAGTTTTAAATTTCATTTAGCTATTATCTTTAGTGGAAGTCTCTGTGTTTTAAATAAGTTAATATGTCCCATGTTAGTTCTTTTGCTGGATATGTTGCATTAGGAAACAATATTATTCACCAAACAAGTTTTCAAGTACATCCTGTTGTTCATAGGGATATTATGTTATACGTTATATACCTGACTTGCTACCACACTGTTCAAATTGTTAGTCTGTACGAATTGGAAGATGTCCTCCATCATCATATCTTGCTCAGTATAAACATCTGATAGCCCTTCTTATATTTGACATAAAGCTGAGGATTCATGTTCCTTCCCGATTAAGAATAGAGTTTTCGTACGCAAGTGGAATCAGCTACCATCGTGTTACCCAATCAGCCTATAATGCGATAGGAGCTGTCCTAATGTAAGAAAAGAACTTGAGCATCTTGATTTAGTTATATTTAACATACTTACATATTTGATATAGCCTACAATAATTGATTATTTTCTAGTAATAGATGTTACGTCTTCACTGTGTGGAAATAAATTTGGTCGTTTATTATAAATAATTGATATTATAAAGTTATCTACCTGAAAACCATACTCACGATCTCGTTATTTCGTGAAAATTTAGAAACATGATTTTAGTGGTCTTTTATTCAGTAGTTGTAGCACTATTTAGTTTTACCAGTGTATCACCTTTTTTGTGTAGTCATTGGCTTATACTGACAGCAAAATAATAGTGAACTTGTCCTCAGGTTGCGTTATCATGGATATATGTGCATTACTTTCAAGTTTATAAACATGTGTAAGAAATGAAGTCGTCTCCGCTAAAAATGACTGGAACTCTGGTTTGGTTAACAGTGCTTTTTATGTTACATTTATAGTTGTCAGGAGCGTCATATGTATATAGTTATTTAACGGCTTTTTCTTGTGAATTTATACTAAATACGTGTTATACTAGTCAACGACAGTTGTTCCTAGGGGTGTGTTGATAGCTTCTTGAATGTACCTATCCCAATTGTATGTAATGTATTTTATTTATCCACTACTTGTTGTCTATCAAGTATTATCTATTTTAACAAGGTTGTTAGGTGTTGAAAAACTAATAATGAGTGTGTTCGAAATGGAACAATATGGGTGTCATCACAGCTGTTTCTTCTGTATTTTTCATGTGTTATTGAAGTGCAATGCGACTAATGGTTGTTTTAGACACAGCCTCAGTTTACCTGTTTTTTGTAGTAAGGGAGTGAAAAATTAATTATCACAGTATCATATATATACATATAAATACTTGGTAGTGTGTATGAAGTCACTTTGTTGGTCAACATTTAGTTACATTTACACTCTTCGTGATGAGCTGATGTTTTTTGTTAGGGCTGATAATAATTGGCTTTGAAGCCTCAATAGGTGGAGCGGGATCCGAACCCGTAACTCAGTAGTCGAAAGTCGTTTATCTGCGCCAATTAGTTTCACCCCCGCTAATACAGAATGTGAAGAATATATAGTCCTGTTAGGTAAATACGTTGTTGAAATACATAGTCTTATGAAGTCCCTGCGCAGAAATCAAATCATCTTTGGCTTTCACTTTGATACTGTCAAATGTACCTTCATATTGCAGGCTGACCAACACCATTTGCGACCTTAATGATGAGTAGGGAGTGGATTAGTGCATTTTTGTGACTAGCTGCTGACGAAGTTTTAACTTATTATGCAAAAGACCGTCTAGCACTTTATGACTTTTTTTATCCTTGGCATAAGTAGAAAATCTGACTGTCCATCAAACTACGTATGTGCTCCACAATAATTTCCGTATTCCTGCCTAACATTAGGGACAAATTATCTTAAAAGTACGAGATACTACATGACTAGTTTTTTCTACAATAGATGTGCACATTTCATTGTTCAAGTTGGATGTAATCCCATAAAAAGAAGCGATGAATACTAACCAAGAGTGTTAGGTAAGGCGTTTAAAGCACATGATATATTTGTGAACCTTCATCGACTGAAGTGGCTGGTATGTATGTCATGTATAATAAGATAGTGATTCCCTGGATTGATGATATTGGTTGAATCACAATCATAACAGAAAAATGACAGAGGTGATAAAACCGAAAAGTGACACTAATCCATGTAGTTCATAAGTGTTTATTTTGAGTTTTGTAAGTTATTTGACTGAAATTTTTGGGATGTCTGGAGTCTGTTGATAATAAACACTCGATGAAATGTTTTGGGAACTCAATGGCAATGTATTCACCCTTTGTTATCCTCAAAATCCTGAAGCTGTTCATTAGTCCTCGTTTAATTATCCTCCCTCAACCATGTGTATGACTCCATTCTCTTTTCTTTTTTCCCTCTTAATTTGCTTTTCCAAAGTGTGGTAATTCGAACTGATTTACGTTAGTCTGTCTATCGCATATACTTATAAGTTCACATTTTTTCAAAATGTCCCAACGGAATGTGTGAAGATCTTAATGTACATTCAAACTTCTGATAAACCCAGCTGCATAAATAGTTTATCTTAACATAGATCTTTTTTAAAACGCATGTAATCTGAGTTGTCTGGTAACTGTTCTGCAGTTCATTTTATTGTGCGAATTGTTCACATTTTATGAAAGATGGATTTGATTTGTGATCGGGAATGCTGGTCGGTAAACGTTACCATCTATCCTGATCAATATAAATACGAAGATAACGAGATCTTGATGTAACTTTTAATTATGGCTTATAGCAGAGTAGAAGTAATTCATGTCCAGCGGCCATCTTCCTAATTGGTTTAAAGTTGGCATATATACAACTAATTTTTGGTTTCGTCACCACGTACTGGTTAACTGGGAGATTTATATCACAAAACATAAAATGTTATTGAGAGTCAATCCTCAGGAAGTTGTGGACCTTCATTTCCTGCTTGTTGTCACTACTCATCAGCAGTGTTTCTGTATAACTTAGTAGGGTTATTGTGATTCGACCCTTTGCTACCCAATGCAGAAGACAAACAGTTCACATTCAAGCTATTCCTACCGCAATTGACTTTTCTTAATATTTTAGTGAACTCACTTAGGAATTGATTACCATCCAACAACCAGGTAAACCTGTCAATGTAATATTTCTCACAGTTGCGATCTGGGATACTTAATAAGAAAAGTTTTTCACAGATCATAAGAGATATTACTCATAATATTGAGCCTATTAGTCAGAACGAGATAAAAGCAATCCTTTTCAATAACTTCACGTTTCACATAAATGAATGTTGTTCATCAGTAGACAATAAATAAAACAAAAGTATGTGTGTATGTATAGATTCGTCTGTGGCTTTGTTGCCTGATTTACAATCACCACACAAAACAAAACCACAGGTCGCCTTCTAACAATTATTTTGGTCTAGTTCTCATTATTCAATGTGAATAAAAATATTCTCGTTTACCTAGCTACTAAATGCTGATTTCTTTCTAATTTGTTTGGTAGTACATGGTTATCAATCAATCAGCCAATCAATAAAATGGTTTATTCAAATTATTTTTATTGACCAGGAATTTTTCGTTTGTCTGTAATTGTGATTACACAATCTCTCTAACTGTTCACTTTTTCTGACTTCTTTCAATTTGCTTATCGCATATGATAATTTTTATTTTATCATTGTTTTATGATCTACAGTTCTATAATGTCATTTGCATGCACGTATGTATGACTTAATTGTATAAGTATTCGATTCCTCTTAGTCGCGGATACACTACATAAATGAAATTTGCGTCAATATGATGTAACATTAAGTTGAACAGGAATGCCTGTCTTATCCGGAAAGCTCTGGTGGTACACAATACTCCATGCTTTAGAAGCCCCAGTCACACTAGCTAGACCTTTAAATAGTAATACTAACACTATAAGGCTAACAGCGGATGCGAATTCTTGGATAAAGTCAAAAATACCTCGCAGATTATTCTAGTATGCTATGTGAACATAAATATCTTGAGGAAGTAAACACCTATCCTTTCCCCGTTGTTACTCACTAATTTCTGCTAATGTTATAGTAACGGGGTGATGGTTTCGAAAGAAAAATTCTGACAAGTCTGTTTCTAGAAAGAGATTTTATATTCTTGCCGATTTAGCTGGTCTTAAGTATGTGTGTTTATTCATTCATCAGTCTATGTGGTATTCTCTTCAATTGCTTTTTGTATTTTTCTCATTCAGGACTGATCCACCTTTAATTAGGTCGGAACATTAGTATGTGCAGAGCAAAAAAACACTGAGTAATCGGGGTAAAGTAGATGTTTTTCCTATTTCTCCTTTCCCTTCCCTATCTAGCTCAATTTAAACTCAAAGTATATATTATGCTTTGTACATTTTGTCTCATATTTCTTCTGTTCAGAGATAGTTGGTTTGCGTGACTTGCACAATGCATATGGATTTTTTTTCTGTAATTTAGTTGGCAAATAAGTAGCATTCCCGCTAACTGAGAGAGTGTACAACATTTTCACTGTTAAAAGTCATGTGGTTCCTTGTTAAACAGTGTGTCGTAGGTTGAGTAGGCCATCATGTCAACACTGTTCAATAGTTGAAAGTTATCTGTTAAATATTCTAAATATTGGCTGTGTTTTTAATCATACAAAGACGCGAAACTGAGACCAAGTCACAGCATATTCGTTTGACGACAACAGTACATTAGTAGTCTATGGTACTTGAAAATCAATCATAATAACAATTAGTTGTATTCAACACGATAGTCAACATGCATTCATAGGACAGAAAAAATATAATTTACATACCAGTGGGTTCTGACAGTCGTTACATCTGCATGCAGATACACCTTTGTCCTACTGTTTTCCATTTCTCAACCTACGTAGTATTAGTCCAACAACCATGACATTTGATCACTTGCAAACTTATTTATTATCTTTTTAAGATTCTTACTTACTGATGTGTGTTTTTCAATTCGGTCAAACCTACTGGCACTTTGTTTTGTTACTAGTGAACATTTTT